GGCACAGGCTATCACATCGCCCAACACATGGAAGGCGGCCGTGATGAAGCTCAAGGAGAACCTGATCCTGTCGTCGCTGAGTCTGAGCCAGAGCGCGCCAGCAGCAGCAGACAGTCAGCACCACCACCACCACCAGCAGCCTATATCTCCCACCTCAGCAGGAGGGGCCTACGACTACGGCGACGAGCAGCTCTTTGTGCCGCCTGGCCCCATCTTCCGCGGCAGTCGCACTGCCCACTCCAGCCCCGCGGGCAGCTCATCGCCGTTCCCGCCGCCGCCTGTCGTTCCTTCTGGTGGTGTCGGTGAGTTTTTGGCCCGGCCTGGCCAGCAGCAGCAGCAGCACCAGACGCCCATTGTCAGACGCTGGGATACAAATGTCCACGAAGGCAATGGCGGCGGAGGGGGGTGGAGCAGCAGCCAGGGCGGCCAGGTCGATCCCATGTCGCTTTCGTACCCGTCGCTGCCACCGAGGAACAGCAACTATCCACGCCAGACGCTGGTACAGGCTCAGCAGCAGCAAGCATGGATGCGCGCGCCGTTGCCCGTGGTGTCGGGATACACGTCGCAGCCCATGTCGCGCGACCCGTCGCATCAGTCTCATCAGTCGCAGTCGCAGTCGCAGTCGCAGTCGCAGTCGCAGTCGCAGTTGCCATACAACAACCAGTATCAACAGTACCAGTCTTACTCCCAGCCAAGCAGCGCCAGCCAACAGCAGCTGCTATTCCCGCCTGGAGGCTCTGTTTACTACAGCAATAGCGGCAGCAACAATAACTACAACGACCACTCGCCGCCTGTGGTGTCTCCCGCTTCTTTTTCTGCCAATACCACTCCCGGTGGGCCATCACGCCAGAGAGCAGCCACACATTCTCATTACTCCTCGCCCCTGGCGATGAGCAGCCCGGATATATCCACCGCCTCTCCTTCCTTTTTCCATCCTAACAACCCCAGCAGCAACGCCCGCCCGCCCCTCACCACTGGCAGCGGCACAGGCAACAGCAACAGCAACGCCAGCGTCAACCTCCCCCTGCCCCTCCCACTCCCCATCCTCCCCCCTTCTTCCCGCCGCGCAGCTCTTGCCCTCACCCAGGGAGCAGCAGCCCGCCCCCCTCATACGCAGAAACCGAGCCCTCCCCGCGTCTCGACGCCGCCTTTCCCGACGTCGACACCAGCTACCAGCGCTGGGAGCAGCTGCACACCAACGCCAACACCAACTTCCCATCCCGCCAGCAGCAGCAGCAGCAGCAGGAGTACCACCCAAGCCTACTGAGCGGCTCGTTCCCGCCTCCGCATCATCCACAGCCACGCAGCGGCAGCGGCAGCGGCAGTGGCAGCGGCAGCAGTCCCCCGCACGGCGCAGCCACAGCCGCGCGCTGGCACATCGGCAGTAGTACTGGTAGCGGTAACACCACAGCACGGCGGGGGCGATCACAGTCCCCCTCGTCATTGTCATCGTCAACACATCATCACTCGCCTTCGCCGTCGGCGTCGTCGCGGCATGGGCTTGGGAATGGTAGGGGCAGTGCTAGTAGTAGGCTTGCGTCGTCGGGGGGGCCGTTTGTGCCGCCTCCTCATATCCAACAGCAGTACCAGCTGAGTGGCAGCCCAGAGCAGCTTTTTGGACTGCCGCCGCCACCGCCGCCGCTGCCGCCGGGGGTGGTTGGGGGCGAGCCGATGTCGAGGTCTGCGTCGGGGGGGAGTAGCGGGAGCGGTGGTGGGGGAGGAGCGGGAGGAGCAGGTATAAGGGTTGGTGGGGGGAGGGTGGAGTTTAAGAGTGGGAGTGGTGGTGGTAATAGCATTCAAGGGGGAGTGGGAGGGGCAGCAGCAGGTCTGTACCCACCACCGACGGCAGCGAGCTCGAGGAGGAGGGGGAGCGCGCCGGTTGTTGGTGGTGGTAGAGGTAGCAGCCCGCCGGGAGCAGGTGGTGGTGCCAGTTTGGGACTGGATTTGGGATTTGGGTTGGGGATATCAGAGTCGGAGGAGTGAAAGAGAAAGAGAAGGAACAGACAGACAGGCATGGTGGTGTGAAATGGTGAATAGGGGGTTATTTCAGGGGCTGGGTTGGGGTGTGTGCAAAGAACGGACGAAAGAGCATGGAAACAAAACAGGCGGCAATTTGGTATGTAAGGCATGTGGATGGATTATGCTACTCGATATGGACAAATTGCAAATATAGACTTGGTAGGATCAGCGCAGTATAGGAAGGTATATAGGGAGCATGGCATCTTGGGCGTGTATAATACGCAGTATTTACCTACTTAAGGTTGTTTGCAGTCTCAGAGACTCGAACCAACTGTGCTACTCGTCTCAAAATTCCAGCATCCACAGACGATAAATAGGTCATCATCAAGGTGTCGCCAATTGACCGTTCCGTCTTCGGGTCCGATCCCAATGACCTGACCTGACCTGATGATAAAAGGATCAAGTCCGGCCGCGGAGGCGGAGAGGGGTCCAAAGACTCATGGTCGTGCGGAGCCGAACCGAGGTAGTATCGCGTCAGGCAGGCCAAGTACCCTAAGGTGGTGTAAGCAAACTGCAGAGGGGTTGCTTGATATAGTATGCCGTGATTAACCGGGCCTTCTCCTCTCCCGTCACTATTTTCTTGCTTCCAGAGGTTTGTGCGACCAATGGTTACCGCATGTTTTGATGGAGCAGAGCGGAAACGAGAGTCTTTGTCGTCATGTTGGTGTCATGTATGATGTATGTCATGTATGGTCTGTTGTTTGGATATCCACTGAGAGCTGAGAAGTGGTCTGTTGAAAGAGGGGGAGAGGGGGAAAGGGGCTGCCTTGTGGGGGGTAAAGGTTTAGTTTGGGATCGTCGTGTGGTTGTGGTTGAGGGGGAAAGAGGGGTTGGCATTAAACACCGCATGATGATCGTCTTTGATAAGAAAATGGATACCTGGATAGATGGGACGGTTTGGAGGTGGATGGGTGGGAAGGCTACTTAGTAGTATAAAAAGGCCATCCCGGCAGCTGCGTGGTAGCTTTCCTTCTTTGTCCTTCCTCTACCTCATCCCACTCACCACATCCACAATTCTCGTCTCGCTCAAGAGAGACTTGACAAACAGCAAGTATCGTGCGCATCGCAGTCCACCCCCTCTTCATAGTATATGCCAACTAATACGCAGTATGGGCCCAGATCCAATCAACAACCAACGGTATATACCACCATCACCACAACACAAGATGCTCTCCAGCAGGATGCTCGGGGCGGCAGCAAACGAAAGCTATGGGTGCTTTCAATGGTATTCAGACTCATGATCAATCATCATTATCATCATCATCAGGTAACTATCTGAATGCATGAGCCGGTGCCAATTCTTGTTCATCCCTCCCTCACCTCTCTCTTTCTCTATCAGGAATGAGTGAGTGAAGGGGGGTGAACTCGAAGCGGCTGAGATTACACGGCAGTGAACTTGATCTGGATAATACCAGCGAAAGGATCATGCTTCTTTGCTCCTCTCCCCCCCCTTTTTAGTTTGACAGGCTCCCTAACACTTACAGAACAACAAACAACATCATGGCTCCCTCCGCCATCCCTGACCAGCACTATGCTACCACCACCACCCTCGCCACCAACGGCAAGAAGGCCACTGCCACCAAGGAAGACAACATCCCCCTCAACCCCCTGACCAAGCCCCTCTCCGACATGCTCTTCACCGACTGGTCCACCTTCTCCTTCGCGCCCATCCGCGAGTCCACCGTCTCGCGCGCCATGACGCGCCGCTACTTCGCCGACCTCGACGCCTACGCCGAGTCCGACATCGTCATCGTCGGCGCCGGCTCCTGCGGCCTGTCCTGCGCCTACACGCTCGGCACCCTTCGCCCGGACCTGCGCATCGCCATCGTCGAGGCCGGCGTCGCGCCCGGCGGCGGCGCCTGGCTCGGCGGCCAGCTCTTCAGCGCCATGGTCATGCGCAAGCCCGCCGACGTCTTCCTCTCCGAACTCGGCGTGCCGTTCGAGGACGAGGGCGACTACGTCGTGGTCAAGCACGCCGCGCTGTTCACGTCGACCGTGCTGAGCAAGGTGCTGCTGCTGCCGAACGTCAAGCTGTTCAACGCCACGGCTGTGGAGGACTTGATCACGCGCAAGTTTGAGGGTGGCGAGGGAATCAGTGATGTGAGGGTGGCGGGCGTCGTGACCAACTGGACGCTCGTGTCGATGCATCACGACGACCAGAGCTGCATGGATCCGAACACCATCAACGCGCCGGTCGTGATCTCGACCACGGGCCATGACGGTCCGTTTGGGGCTTTCTCGGTCAAGCGGCTGGTGAGCATGAAGCAGATTGAGCAGCTGGGCGGCATGCGCGGGCTGGATATGCAGAGCGCTGAGGACGCCATTGTCAAGAACACGAGGGAGATTGTGCCGGGCTTGATTGTGGGCGGTATGGAGCTCAGTGAGGTTGATGGGGCGAATCGGATGGGTATGTCGTTCTCTTCTGCCCCTTTTTTATCATCTGTTGATACTGATATGCATACAGGCCCGACCTTTGGAGCCATGGCCCTCAGCGGCGTCAAGGCTGCCGAGGAGGCGCTCAAGGTCTTTGACCTGCGCAGGAGCCAGAACCACGTTTAAAGCGGTCTCGGAGGGACATTGTTTCCCTTGCTATGGTTCTCGTCGCTTGAGTTTCGTCATTTTTGGTACCTTGAGTTGTCTCTGCCGCTACTTAGCAGACAGCCAGCTTCCTTGAAAGTCTCGAAACATGGTCAGGAGGTAGCCGTCACCACGTTCTTTACATGATCAGTAGTCGTTGCTTTATTGCCATTGATAAACAACAATGAGATTGCAAACCTGGAAACAAAAGAATATTCTCAACGTGAAACAAGAGAGTTTGAACTTGAAGTGAACTTACACGACATGTGCACAAACCCCAATACACACCCACAACTCCACACTACTCACACATAACTTGACAAAAGGGAGGGTAGATATAGATCAAATTCCACCACACACTCTCCAACCAGGAAGCATGTCAAAAACAGCAACTCCATTCAGTTGCCCGGCTAGCTCAATCGGTAGAGTGTGAGAACTCTTACCACAGACGATACTCCCAGGGTCTGTCCAAATCAGTCCATCTCAAGGTTGTGGGTTCGACCCCCACGTCTAGCTCAATTCCCGTTTGTCAAGACTTGTTTCTTCTTTTTGTTGCTCCTTCCGTTTGCTGGTTCTCTCTTCTCTCTTCTTTTCCAAGTCCGATGACATAATGACTGAGTTGAAACTTGAATTCCTTTCCACTCGTCCCCACAGCAAAAAGCCCATGATAGATACTGGATAGAGAGGCAAGTAACATACAGACAATTATCTCGATTGCCTACATGATAATAATACGCTCGCCACACTATCCACAACTCTCTATCCACAACTCTCTATCCCATCTCATCTTATCACCCTTCCACTCATTCTTCATTCCCCCAGAAAGGTACCCACCTACCCTATGCAATGCCAAACTCCTGAATCTGACCAACCTCATTCTTCGCCTCCCCCGTCCCGGCAATCTTGTACGACACCCTCCACCGCAACTTGATGGCCTCGACCTTTTTGCTCTTGTCCCCCCCGTGCCACACGCTGAACGCCTGCGTCACCCCGCGGCTCTGCTTGGGCTCCAGGCTCCATCCCGACGGCGTCTGCAGCTGCAGCTCGTAGCCCTATAAAAATCATCAAATCAGTACACAGCTTCTTGGCTTTATCCCAGCAACAGTTAGAGGATCAAGTAAGTAAAGGGCAAAAGACAAACCTTCGTAACCGCCAACTCAAAATTCAACTCCTCCACCCTCTGCCTCAGATTATTCGTAAACGCAAACGCCAGCTCCATCGCCAGCCCTCTACTTTCCGCCTTCCTCCCCGCCACCAGGTCCACCCGGATGCTCGTGTTGCTCACCACGATCCGGTGTTCCCTCGGCGGTCCCTGTACCTGCTGCTGCTGCTGCTGCTGCTGCCGCTGCCGCTGGGGCGGCGACGCCGAAGAAAACACCCACTCGTCATCATCACCACCACCAGCCGCACCCGCAGCCTGGGCCTGAAGCGCCAGACCCGCAGTGGCCTGCTTTGGTGGTGGTGGCGGCGGCGTGTACGCATGCGGACCCAGCGCCGCAAACGGGTCCGGTCTTGGCGGCGGGGGGGAGAATGCCGACCGCATTGCTGCCAGCGATGGTTGCGGCGTGCCTGATTGTGATGTGGATGACGATGGGGGTGAAGTAAATGCGGAGGATCGTTGGGACAAGGAAGATGATGACTGTGGTGGTGGCGTGGCCGTGGAGGAGATGGGGCCCTTTGCGCTGTTGCTTTGGGTTACGGAGGAGAGGAGTGCTGGGCCGGGGAGGTCTGGAATATGTTTGTTAGTGAACCGCCAATTTGTACACACATGTAGTGGAATGGGTAGACATACTGGTATTGGCACCGAAGCCGAGGGCGATGCCTCCTGTCTGGCCGTAACCGCCGCCGCCGCCGCCGCCGCCGCCGCCACCACCGCTGGTGTCGCCTAACGACAAGCCCAAAAGATCGTTTTCGAGGCTGTTTGAGCCCTGAGCAGCTGAGCTCGACCCGTTTGTTGTGTCTATATCGGCATCGAGGTCAATCAGGGACAGCTCGTTTGCAGCACTCTTCCCTTTGCCACCCGTCGATGCTGTTATCGGCGCCCCCCTGGCCAATTGCGCCGCGCCGCTGACGTCGCCCTTCTTCATCAACTTGTATCGCTCCACCGTCCGGTGTATGCTGTCGTTGATCTCGAGCAACTTAGCAACAGCCTCGTGGTCGTCCGACTCCTCCTCGCACATCTTCTGGATCTTTGGCTGGGCGCTCGACAGCGCCGACGCCAGCTCCGAAAACACGTCACCATCCATCATCTTGTCGCCGGGCCTGAAGGCCTCGAGCCGCTCCTCGAGCAGACGCGCCTTCTGCTGGATCTTGCCCACGTCCTCGGCCGCCCTGGCGCGGTAGTCGACCTTGGAGCGCGTGTCGTAGCCGGCCATGACCTTCATCAGCCGATTCGCCTCCATCAGGTCCTCGGGGGTGCCCCTGCGGATGAGCTCCTGCAGCTTGGCCGACTGGGCCTCCTTCTCCTCCTCCTCCATCTCCTCGGCCGACTTGAGGTTGTCGCTCGGGTTCAGCACGGCCGCGTCCTCGCGCCGGACCTCGGGGAAGACGTAGCCCTTGTAGCTCAGCAGGCGGTGCATGTCGCGGATGAAGCCCAGGTCCTCCTTGTACCGGCTCGTCTCGCAGATGGTGCCGCGCCACTCCTCGATGGCCTCGAGGATCTTGAGCTGGACGCGCGTCGGCCGGATGGGCGGGCGCTCGGGGAAGCGGCGGACCAGCTCGTTGAGGAACTCCTTGGTGCTGATCTGCAGGTGGAAGGGGTAGCCGCAGTTCTTGACGCAGATGTCGAGCAGGCTGAGGGCCAGCAGCGACACGTTGGGGTTGCGGTGGTTGATGTAGTTGACGATGGCGACGGCCGCCTCGCGCGGGGCCGTACCCTTCTTGGAGTTGATCAGGTCTGCGATCTCGAGGCACAGGGCCAGGTTGGGCTCGTAGTTCTCGGCCCTGCAGGCGGCCTGGATGAAGCGCAGGAGCTGCGATTGCGAGGGCGCCGGGTGGCCGCTGCCCATCTCGCCCCAGCGGTCCCTGGTGGCGGCATACCGCGCAGATGCCGCCTCCATTTTTTTTTTTTTTTTTTTTTTTTGACGGTGCTGTCTGTTGTTAATCGGCGTCTCTGTTGCTGCTGTGTCCGTATTCTATGGCTGGGGAGGTGGTATTGCTGTTGGCCTCAGTGGCTGCTTTGAAATGTCGCTCTCTCTCTCTCTCTCTGTGTGTTTCGCTACCACGCGTGCGCTCGTCGTCGTCAGTCGGCGGCACAGGGAGGCTAGGCAACTACCTAACTAGCAACCCACTTTGGCGATACGATTACGATAGTTGATTCCTGGGCTCTAGAAGGCCTTCAGGGGGGTGACATAGTCAGTCGAGGTGTCCTTGTCGCCGAGCTTGGGCCTCCGTACGTACGTATGGACGCGGGCGGGTGTGCATGGATGGACAGTGGAGATGAAATTGAGAGCTTGGAACGAGCGAGACAGATCGTTTGACTTGGGGAAAGTCGACCCATTTCCCGGATTGGCGCTAAATGTGCTGTGGACTTCTTGGTTCAGTGATTGGCGGGCTGCCACGGCGGGGTAGGTTTACGGGGAAGGTGGTGGTAGTGGGGGTATTTTTCTTCATGGAGAGACATCCAATGCGACAGACACGGCCCAGAGTTGTAACCCCTCCACTGATAGAGCAAACTTTACGCAATCGATCGCGACACACCAAGTTTATCAAGTAACGTCAACGACCCATCTGACACTTCAGATTTCAGAACAACAACACTTCACAACAAAACACTTGATCTAAAATGGTCCGCCACAAGAAGGACAACTTCTCGTCGCGGGGCAAACACATCCACCGTGGCCCGCCCCGCAATGCCCGCCGCCTCGACAGCGACGGTGTCGTCATCCCCGACGACCCCAACGACAACGACGACGGCAACGCAGCCGGCCGCGCCAAGCCCGCATTCAAAGCCGCCTGCTGGGACCTAGGCCACTGCGACCCCAAGCGGTGCTCGGGCAAGCGTCTGATGCGGCTGGGCCTGATGCGCGAGCTGCACCTGGGCCAGCGGCACTCGGGCGTCATCATCACGCCCAACGGCAAGCAGGTCGTCTCGCCCGCCGACCGCCCCCTGATGGAGGAGTTTGGCGCCGCCGTCGTCGAGTGCTCGTGGGCCCGCACCAAGGAGGTGCAGTGGAACAAAGTCGGCGGCCGCTGCGAGCGCCTGCTGCCCTACCTCGTCGCCGCCAACACGGTCAATTTCGGCAAGCCCTGGCGCCTCAACTGCGTCGAGGCACTCGCCGCCGCCTTTGCCATCTGCGGCCACCTCGATTGGGCCCAGGCCATCCTCGCCCCCTTCTCTTACGGCGAGACCTTTCTCAACCAGAACTCCAAGCTGCTCAAGAAGTACGCCGCCTGCGAGGATGCCCCCGGCGTCAAGAAGGCCGAGGAGGAGTGGATGGCCCGTCTGGAGAGGGAGTACACCGAGAGCAGGGAGGCAAAAGGTTCTGACGATATCTGGGAAGTTGGTAATGTCAACCGCAGAGACGAGGTAGACTCGGATGATGACGACGACGACGACTCCAATTCCGACAGCAACGAAGACAGCGATGAAGACGACGACAATGCCAGCATAGACGGCATCTACCTTGGCAGCAAACCCCCCAAAAACGCAGGGCTGGCACAAGATCTAGCAGCACAAGAAAGAGACCCCTTTGCCATATCCGACGACTCAGACGACGAGGCCGAGATGGAAGAGATCCGCCGCAAGATCCTCGCCTCCAAGCCATTCTCAAACGCCGCACCACCACCATCACAGCCACAACATCACCACCAACAACAAACAGAGCACAAGAAGGCACCAGTGCTGATCTCCATACCCCAGCAGCGACTCAAGCCTGACTCGGACGCCGAGCCCGACTCTGATAACATAGACGAGGAGGACGACGAGTTTGACAACATCATCAACGCCACCGTCGTCACTGATAGGATAGGGCTCGCAAAGCTGGAGAAGGACCGTGCTCGGGCTGCGAATACGGCCATGACGAGTAGGACGTTTTCATCCGCGTCCATGTCTGCGCCTAAAAGGGGTTGATGTCAAAATTGAAAGACACCGCATTATTCTCTTCATGCTTGCTCACTCACCCTCGAAGTAATCAAAACAATTGAGTAAACGAGCAGCGAGTTAGTATTATTATTATGGGGCTCTATGTGCTTGCTGCCTATGCTGTTCCTCCCCAGACCGCATGCCACCCATCAACCATCTATGCCATGCCTCATCATATATATGCCTAACAACATTAAAATGATAAATGGCAAAGAAATATAAACCTCCCAGTAAGTATGTTTATGTATGTATGCATATAACCTGCCAGCCATGCATGCTTGGATATAGAATCCATCTATCCATCCATCCGTCTGCCTGCCCAAACCCAGTAGTAGCTTTTTTATACACGTTTTGTTTACATCCCATCCACCTTTCTTATCTTACCATATCTCACATCATATCCCCTCCACTCACAACGTTCTCTTCTCCTTAA